AGAACACCCTACAATCTACACACCAACACGCTTAGGCTTATACAATCCTGTTTTCTAATTCACTGGATTAGAAAATGGGATTTGTCTGACTTCATCATAATTTCGAGATAGCTCATGGCAAGACCCGTGCGGTGGACATACTGTGAGCCAGGGTAGTCGCAACGCGTCAGAGGCTGTGCTGTTGGTCCCCCTCCTTCTCAAGTATCTCAACTACATGTCAGGAAATGTGAGTGCCTACCTACTTATTTGCTTTTTTGATGGTACAGAAAGAAGAGGATTCTTACATGTGGCCTCCAGTTAGTTCATGGGAGAGATGAAACAGTTTGGGAAATTTGTCTCCTCTTTATAGAATCATGAAGAATAACAGAATACCAGGAATAGACAGAGCCTAGAAATTATCTCACATTCTGCAGTCAGTCACATGGCCCTTTCCATATTTTGTTACCTCTATACCATCCTTCAATATTGTTAAATTAGTTCATGTTTTATAAACTTTGGGTTTTTTTTTTTTTAATCATATCCTGCGATAAGTTGGGAATCAGTATAATCTGACGTAAACAGAAGACTGCAATAAACAGACTGAAAATATCACACTGTTGTGAAATTCTTACCAGATGCTGAAGCCTTCAGCCTGCCCAGGCTGCACCCAGAAAGGGAATTCAGCAAATATGAAGGGAGAACAGAGAAATATTATCCTGTGATGGAGTCAGGAAGGTCCAAAGTGCCAAGGAAAAGTCAGTGCTTTCTTGCTGATTCCATGCCAAAGTCACCATGGACCTCCTGAGCTTGGCATGTGACCCGAAGGGACTGTCCATGGTGCCACAGCCTTCACTCACAGCAGGAACCAAGACTTCCTGATGATTTCCAGTGGCTGTCTCAGTGCCCTGTCACTGCCCAGAGCAACTTACCTAGTAGCTGGGAAGAGAAGGGGAGAGAAGTCACAGAAGAAGTGAGAGGAGGAATGGAGCTGGCGGAAGGTGCCGTTGACTTCCCAGTTCGGGCTTGCCAGATTTTCAACCGCCTCTGTTCTCCTCTCCTGTGCTTAGCAGCCCTTGGCAACTGCCGTTAGAAGTCTGAAATGCCTCATATTTCCACAGAGCAAACTTGTGCCCGGATTTATCATGGCCTAGAGTTTTAAATAAGGAAGCTTCTGGAAAGAGGTAGCCACGCAAAGGAGAACCTCTCCAGTTGTCTTGCCAAAAGAGGAACCCTGGCAGGGACAAGGCCGGAAAGCATTCCTTTCCTTGTATGTTACAAATTTCTAAATCTCTAGGACATTGGTGCCTGCACCTGATGCCTGTGCCATTAACCTTCTCTAGCCACATCCTGAACTTCATGAAGTGTTTCTTATGCCTGAATAGCTCGTACTGGCAGGAACCAGAAAAAATTTAGGTATCCTCCAAACTGCTCTACATTTTCTATGTTCACAAGCTTTTCAATCCCACACTGGATCTTTCTTGAGTGAAAATAGACTTTGTTGCTGGCAGGCTGTGTGGACATTCTGACTCTACTTCCCAGCTAGAGATGAAACAGAGAAAAAGAACAGACTAACATCCCTGATGAACACAGACACAAAAATTATCAGAAAAATACTGGCCAACAGAATCCAGAATACTGGCCAGCAGTACATGAGGCAGATCAATCATCCAGACCAGGCAGGATTTATCCCTGATATGCAGGGATGATTCAACATTTGCAAATCAACAAATGAGATTCACATCAACAAATTGAAAAATAAGAACCATGTGATCTTCTCAATAATTGATAAAATCCAGCACCACTTCATGTTAAAGCACTAACCAAGCTAGGCATTGAAGGAACATTCTACAAGATAATCAAAACAATATTAAATAATAATAATGCCAGTCTCATACTGAGTAGGAGAGGATGGGAGCTTTCCCACTAAGATCTGGAATGAGGCAAGGACATCCACTTTCACCACAGCTATTCAACATAGTGTTGGAAGTCTCCGCTAGAGCTATTGGCCAAGAAAAGGAAATTAAAGGAACTCAAACATGAAACAAGGAATTAAAATTATCGCCATTCACAGATGACATGATTCTACACATAGAACCAAAAGGTTCAATCAAGAGACTATTGGAACTCATAGGACAGTTTGACAGGGAACAAAATTAATTAGCACAAATTGATGGCCCTCGGATACACAAATAACTCCATGGCTGACAAAGAACTTCTGTGTACAATCCCCTTTAGGATGCCAGAGAAGAATCTTAAATGATGGGATAGACCTAACCCAAAACATGGGAGATCTTTATTATGAAAGTTATAAAACATTAAAAGAAGAAGAAGAAATAGAAGAAGACATTAAAAGATGGAGAAATTTACCATGTTTCTGGATCAGCAGGATCAATATGATCAAAATGTCCATATTATCAAAAGTAATATACAGGCTCAACGTGATACTAATCAAAATCCCAGCTACATTCTTTTCAGACGCATAAAAGATGATAGAAAAATTCATCTGGAAACACAAGAGACCACGAATAGCCAAAGGAAGTGAAAATCTGCATATGAGAACGTGACCTGCAACCCTGTATTTATAGGAACACAATCCACAAGGGGAGAAGACATGGAAACCATGCAGATGCCGTCCAAGGAGGAGTGCGTAAAGAAACGGTGCATCTGCTCCAGGGAACACCACTGAGCCGTTAAGAAGAATAGAATTCTACCACTGGCAACCAAACGGTCCCAACTGGAGATCATCATACTAAGTGAAACAAGCCAATTTCAAAACGAAAAATATCATATGGTAACCTTCATGCAAAATACAGATAAATAGTTATATAGGCAGACATGTATTTACATATAATTCTCAAGAGGAACTATATAATGGAGACTAGCATGCCAGGAAGTGAAGATAAGTTGCAATAGGCATTTGTACTCCTGAATAAAGACAGACTCCCAGCGGAACTGTTAAATATACCTTGACGATAGGATACTAACGTCTGCCATTGTCTATACCTACAACGCCATGGTCCACTTCACTAACAGCATGCTGGTCTTGGACTGTTGCTGAAGGACTATCCTGTTGCGTAATAATACGGCGGAAAACATTCAAGAGTCAAACTGGGGACATAGTGGAAATCCCTATGCCTATGAAACAATATCATGAAAAATAATAACAATAATGGAACTTTCTAAATGAAGAAAAGAATGAATGTGGCATAGCAGTCAAACCACCACTTGGGATACCTGCATGCCATATTCAAATGTCTGAGTCCAAGTCCCAGTTCAACTGTCCATCCCAACATCCCGCACAGCAGGTGATAGCAGGTGAGGGCTGAAGTACATGGGTCCTGCCACCCACACCCACATGGGAGATTAGGACCAAATTCTGGGCTCTTGGCTTCTTCTGACCATCCATAGCTGGTGCAGGCATGTGGAGAGTAAATCAGAAGATGGGAGACCTACTTCTCTCTCTCTCTCTCTCTCTCTCTCTCTTTCTCTCTTCCCCCACCCCTTCCCTTCAAATAAACAAGTGAATATAATTAATTCTTGAATATAGAACAAAGAATGGGACCCACCCAGTTGCAGCATGGAGTGGGAGTAGGAGAGAGGCCTTAGGAAGCAGACAAAGTAGCCGAACAATCAAGACAGAAGCAGCAACTTGGCATTTCTGAGAAAGGCAAGAAGTGCAGCCTGGTTGGTGCTCAGATGCGAAGTGACAGCAGGCAGCACTGAGCCAGTCACCCCCCAGCCACCCCCCAGCCTTTGGACTTCATCCTGAGAAAGTGATTCTTCAGCATTGGGCTTGGAAGGAATGATGAGGGCCTCTCCCTGGACTGTGTGGGCAGAAGGGGCCACAATAACACAGAAGGCAAATGCCTGATTCCAAACTAACAGGTTCCTGATGTTCTGGCCCAGTGGGCTGAGGCCCCCAAGTCTCTCTGGTCCAGAGTTCTGGAGCAGAGCTGGGTCCTGGTTTTTTAAAAGATTCCTGGGTGATTCTCCTGGACACAGGGTTGGGAACCACGACAGTACACACAGCCTGGCAGCCAAAAACCCTGCACACATGCCCCCAGCCAGGTACTCTGCTAGCCAAATGGACTCAAACTCAACTTTTCAAGCCGTTCTGGCCAGTCGCCAAAAGCAGCCATGGCACAGGGCTGACTCCACTTGCTTCCTTGCGCTGCCCTTTCCAGGTTGATGCAAAAGACCCTGCCCAAGAGGAAACTCAAGGGAGCTGGTGGGGGAGCCCCCTCACCTGGCCCCTGGCCCTAACAGCTGAGGGCACAAAGAACTTTCAACATGCCTCATTTGGGCATCAACGACCAGTCTTACCTCCCCCCTGCCACCATCCACCACTGGTCCATGATGCACTGCATTTGGGTTTTTTCCCCTGGCCCTGAATAACACAATTTTACAAGAGGAAAAGCTGCTGGGATAGCACATGGTGGATGCAGGTTCCGGGGTCACCCCATCACCCCCAATCACCTGCAGGTGAAGCCCCTTTCCTCAGCAGCACCAAGCGACAAGCCCTCGCAGTTGTTTCCTTGAGCTGCTCCCTCCATGCTGACTCAAATCATCAGTTCGGCAGAGCCCTGGCTTGTTCTTGCAGCACTAACTGCCGCCCTGGTGTCACTTCCCCATCCTGCCCCACGGTGCTGCTGTTCTGACAGCTGCTGTTGGGGGCCTCCACAGCACATTTTGAAAGTAACTCGCCAGGCCATGGGACTTTGTGCTCTCTCAAATCTCCCTCAGCAGGCAAGTGCCGCTCACAGTGTCAGGCACTGCGAAACTGGGGGAGCAAGCAGGCAACCCCACCCACTGCAGGGGAGGACTCTGGGAGACAGGCAGCACTCAATAGCAGCCCCCTGGGATGGTCACGACGCTTTTGTCTTCTCTGCTTTTTGGCTTTTCGGTGAACTTTGTTTGGAGGCGGCTGTGGTTTTCTTCCATGTAAAGCCCTCATTCAAGCCAATCTATTTAGCATCAAATAACCATGATTTCTTATTTGCTGCCTTTCTTACTTCCTCCAGCTCCCTGTGGACAGAATGAGACCCGAGAGGATGGCAAAATGATCCAGCTGCCTCCTTGCAAGACAGGGGCTTGGGTTGTGCCAGCCATCATGGCCTGCTACCTCTTGGTGGCAAACATCTTACTGGTCAACCTCCTCATCGCTGTCTTTAAGTGAGTGTGTCATGTGTCACAGTGTTTGGCCTAAGCAGGGGGAGGAGGGCAGGAGGACAGTGAATGCTTTAGCCAACACTAGAATGGGCTCAGCATGTAGCAGAGGGCCTGTACTGAAAAGCCGGTATGCATCCCAGTTGCTCTGCATCTAAACCAACTCCTTGCTGATGTGCCTGGAAGAGCAGTGGGAGATGACCCAAGTGCTTGGGACCCTGTCGCCCAGGAAAATATGATGAAGCTCCTGGCTCTTCATGTTGGCCTGGCTTATTCCTGGCTGTTGCCACCATTTGGGGAGTGAAGCAGTAAAAGGAAGATCTCTCTCTCTCTTAAAGGCAACACTGCATCTCCTCACGTTGTTCCCTTTGTTCTCTCTTTCAGCAACACATTTTTTGAGGTTAAGTCGATCTCCAATCAAGTGTGGAAGTTTCAGCGGTATCAACTCATCATGACCTTCCATGAAAGGCCAGTTCTGCCCCCACCTCTGATCATCTTCAGTCACATGACCATGATCTTCCAGCACCTGTGCTGCCGCTGGAGGAAGCAGGGAAGTGACCCGGATGAAAGGGACTATGGCCTGAGTGAGTTCCAAGTGACAGCCCCAGTGACCCCCAAGCTGTCCCATCTCAGCCATCAGGGAGAGGACATCGATCACCCACTTGCACCTGCGGCCTTAGAAGGCAATGCATGCTGAACCTGGCATTGTCAGTCTCCCACCTCGCTTTATGACATGCAGCCAACCTCCAACAGGGCTACTTTGGTGCCTTCTTAAGTCCCAAGTTTCTGACTTTCCAGTGGTGGTCCTACACGAAACACCAACCATAGCAATATGCACTCTGTTATACATTATCTACCAATCTTGGTGTGAATTGCTTTGCAAGCAATTAAGTTTGACTTTTTCCATCATCGTTTCTGAACCAATCATTTGTTTAAGTCTCAGATATTTTCCCAAGTCTTAGAAGTTGCATTAATCTGAGCTCATGAGGATCGCAGCTGTGCTTTCCATTCAGAAGGCAAAAGAGACTCCCTGCCACGCTCCTTCTAGCCTGGTGTTTCTAAAAGGGGGTGCTGTTGGCCGGGCTAGCACAGCTGCTAACTGTGTACCACGCACCTGGCTTCCACACCCTGTGAACAGTAGCTTCTGGAGATTCCTGACTGCCTCTTGTGTCCCACCCTACGTTTAGAACCACTGGGCATGCAGCCTCATACCAGGAAGCTAACATGGGTTCTCAGAAAGTGTCAGACGGACATTAACCCACAAACAGAGCCTCTGAGGCTGTGGTCCAGGAACCGCCCTCCACACGATCTCCCATGTAGCTAAGCCTTGATCTGCAAAGCATGTAATCGATGCTTCTCTAAATGTGAAGCCCTTCACAGCCTCTCTGACAGAGCAGTGTCCAACTTCTTTCTCAGCATTCAGACCCAGAGGGGGAAGAGAGGTCGGAATTCCAGAATGTCACTCCATCTGAACCACGCATTCAGGCAAATGAAACGCTTGGAGGCAGGGCAAGGCAGAGAGTAGCGGATGAGACCAACTTAGCTTTGCTATCAAGGAAATTCAGCCCGTGAGGGGGAACACAGAGTGCTGAATCAGGGGCATGGGTATGACAAAAACTTCAGCATTGCATGGTATGCTCTCCTGAGGGTTGACTCAAGGATACCAGTCAGTTACAATAAACCATGCGTTATTGGTGGTAGAAGGAGGATCTCACATGCCCACAGAACCCAGGAAGTAGAGTCTGGAACAGCACAGGCAGTAGGGTGATAGAGACCATTTGTACTGCAACACCCACTTCCTTGCAGCAGACACTGGACCAGATGAGAGCCAGCTCCAAGGGGAGCCATAAAAGCAATGCCAGGCCACTGGACACATGGCTGGGTCAGGCCGAGACCCCTTAACTATTCATCTGTTGGAGTAAACAAATTTTTGCTCTAGCTTTTATTTAAAGAACTCAGTGCATTGCCAAGTTCCTGTCAAACCACAGATAAAACACTGTGAAATGTAAATTTCAATTTTTATTATAAAACTTGCCATATTGATGGATTTTCAAAAAAATGGCATCTTAAGAACAACCCAAATATCCATTACAAATAACCAAAGAAGTCAAATGAGGCATGTAAGGTGCCAACAACATAAGTAGCCAGTGTCTGCGAGAAGGCTTCTTTCTACCTTGAGGATTCCGGAAACTGCTTCTCTTCATTTCCCTCCTCCTAGCTGCCAACTTTCCAGTTGTTAAGTTTGGTTTTTTCCATGATCATTTCTGAACCAATTAAATTCATGACTGCGTCTCCAGCATTCCCTCCTGATCAAGCTCTCGTGAACTCTGGCATGCTGGACTGGAGAGGTCTGATCTATTTTCCATGCCCCAGGTAAATTCAGACAGTGGTAACTTCAACCAACTGCGTTGCGGATACCCTCACACGCAGGGCTCCGGGCATCTCAGGCAACCCACGTGGCATCCTAAGGACCCAGGACAGAAGGGGGCCTTAGCCCATTTTCATATCATTTTAACCACTGAGCTATTTCTGCATTGCTGTCATCACTGAGTTGGTTTTCATGCTTCACAATGTATTATGAGTTGTTTACCCTCTATTAATTGAAAACCATGCTACCAATCACTCAAATAAGGAAAGCTTTAATTATCTCATTTGACAGATGGGAAAAAGATAGTGAGCCCAGAACTAGGAACATGGCTCATGGAAGCTAAATGCCCACAGTTCTATTTTTACTTTCAGCTAATTCTTGTCAAGTGGTTTTGTTTCAGGGTTGCACAACAGCCTCTGCACCTCCAGTCATCACATTTACATTTAAGGGAGGATAAAGGGGGGGCACATGAAAAGAAGCAATCACATCTCCAGCTCCTCCCCAAGACACCACCCCTCCCCGCAGCAGCCTTCCATTGCTTCCTGTCCCCAACTGGGTCTTGTAGCTGCTGGCAGCTGCAGGTGAAAATGGAAATGTGGATATAGTTACCTCCCAGCCTTAGAAATCGGATGGGGAAAGGAGAAATGTGGTTGCAAAAGAACTGTCAGTAAGGCCTGTCTATAACCTCTGTCTCCATCATCACCCCAGCCCAGAAATGATCGAGCTCCTACGAAAGCCCTGCGCTCTGAGTGGTTTCCTTTTCACTGAGTTTTGTTCTTGGCTTTCCAACTTGTATTGTTCTGACCAACTCTATAGAAAACCAGATACACACACGTGAACATCAGAGCAAGGCAGCAGATCTCACATTCAGGAGGAAGATGGCAACGCTAACCACCTTACTGGAGTTAGACTTTGGAACTTAGGAAAGAATCAAAGCCCCTCTTCCCAACCTCAGTGTGTGTGTGTGTGTGTGTGTGTGTGTGCGCGTGTATACATATATGTGTTTATACATACATACATATATATATCCACCAACCCAAGTCCATTGCCTGTACTCCTCTGTCCAATGGATCACTCCCTCTCTTCTTTTCACAGAACTCTTCATAACTGATGATGAGCTCAAAAAAGTACATGACTTCGAAGAGCAGTGTATAGAGGAATATTTCAGAGAAAAGGATGACCGATTCAACTCATCCAACGATGAAAGGATACGGGTGACTTCAGAAAGGTAGTTTTCATGGGCCCATGCCTCCCACACACCTTTTCTGTCATGCATATACCATCAACCAAATTTTCTTACACACATCTCTTGTGTAATTTGTCTCAGAAATCATGGAGGTAATAAAAGATACAGGGCACATCCTAGCATTCTGCAGATCAGAACTCCAGACTTACAGGTGCAGGCCTTGGCAGTGCAGGCTGTTGCGTGTGGAACAGGGCTGAGGTCGCTGGCTCAGGCCATAAGCCAGCAAATTCTGAGCCAGATACACAGCCAGCAAAGATGCCTCAACTCCAGGCTCTCCGACAGGTTTGTACATTGCATAAACCCCTGAGCACCTTTCCCAGGGGACTAGAATGGCCTTAATGTCTAGCTGAGAAACTTGCTCAATGCCTTCCAAACTAAATACTTATCAACTAGTTATAATAATCATTAGCTGTCTCTTTTTCCCCCTAACTGCTTTGTTTTGCTATTTTATAAACAGGTCAAGTACAAAGAAATAAAAGCAGATTTCTCTACTCAATGATTATGTAGTTTTAGTTCTCACTGACAAAACAGGTAGTTTAAGTAGCAAAACTCTAGGGAAAAATATCTCCCTCTGGGGCCAGCTTTTTGGTGCAGTGTGGTAAGAGCTGCCTGGGGCCAGCTTTTTGGTGCAGTGTGGTAAGAGCTGCCTGTGACACCAATATCCCTTTTGATACCAGTTCAAGTCTTGGCTGCTTCCTTTCCAATGCAACTCTTCTGCTAACATGCCTTTGAATGCAGCAAAAGCTGACCCAAGTACTTGGACCCCTGCACCCATGTGGGAGACCCAGATGGAATTCCAGGCACCTGGATTCAGGCTGGCCCAGCCCCAGCTGGTTGCCTGTCACAGTCATTTGGGGAATGAACCAGTTGATAGAAGATCATTCTCTCTCTCTCTCTCTCTCTCTCTCTCTCTATATATATATATATATTTATATAGACATATATATATGTCTCTATATATATATATATCCCTGCCTTTCAAATAAATAAAAAATTAAGTCTTATTTAAAAACAGAGAAATCCCCAAATGAAGAAAATCCCTTAAAGCTAACAATTCGCCTTTATATAAATGGAATTGTTTTCTTATGGGTCTTATCTTGCTGTAGCTTGATAAAACCTTCTTCATGGGCTACAATGTTCAAAATCCAGTGTCCCAAGGAGTATTCAGAGTGTTTGCAAGGCAATAAAGTCACTTTAAATTATAAGCATTTGCAGCATAAAAATGGCGGAGCGAATTATAAAAAGTGTAGAAGGATGTAAGGCACTGGTTGCTGATTTTAGTCTCTATGGCCCAGAATGCTAAGATTCAAGGCAGTCACGTCTAGTCTGCATGAAATGGCATTCTGTCCGCTGATCCACTTCCGTCTGCAGTGACCTGTAGACACTGCAAGGGGCATTTCATCCCTGTCCCTGGTCCTGTACGTCTTGGTAAGAAGTTTCCTGTAGCCGTGACACCGAGTGATCTAGGTGATTTCATTTCTACGTACTAGCAAATATTAATAAAGCGGAAAGCCATATGCAAAGTCCACACAGACCTGTCACTGCAAAATAGGGTGTTCTAGAAGAATACTAATCCTGCCACTGCCTTCCACATTCAATGTATTTATACTAATCATATTTGTGAGATCTGCTTAGAAAAACAAATATGCTGCCTTCATTAGTGAATTAAATGGGCGATTACTAAAGCACACTTTAGGTATGTAAAGAATTACATGCAAGTGTTCAAGAGATCATGAACACCTCTTAGAAGCCTGTTTCTGAAAAGAACTTGTCCTTCTCATTTCTCAGATGGCAAACACCCAGTGGCTACTTAACAAATAACCCGGATACCTCTAAAAGGTGATGGCAGATGCCTGAGAAAATGATGCATGGATTTCAACTTTTTGCATCAAAACATTGAAACTTGCATTTTTTTTTCCACGGACTCTTTGAAATGTGCTCCTATGTCATGAACGACTGGCAGGCCTTGGCCTGGGGTAGGAGAAGGGAGTGCAGAGAATGTTGCATCTCACTATGCCTGCTGGAAGGGACCGTCTCCCGGCAAGGGGGAAGCATTGCTTACAGGAGAAATCTATGAACAAACACAGGGGAAATGAAACCTTTTTCTATCTGAGAAAGTGTTTCACATTCATGAAGACCACTGTCACCACCCTACCTCGCCTTGTCTTTTCCAGATGAAATACTCCACAATGGGTTCACCATTTACCCTGCTTTCCAACAGACCGCACAGGCTGCTCACTTTCTCAGTACAAAATACACTTGAAGTAGTCAACATCACATATTTAAAGAATTTCAATGTGATGTCTACATTGAGCTTAATTCCCTGTGTTGCCGTTAGCTCCTGGATTTAATTCCTCTATTCACTCACTCGTTGGCTATTTAGAGCATGCACTGTATTTTGGATTAGTACTTGCACAGTAGGACAAGCAGTTCTTTCCGTGGCATAATGGCAAGAACACAATAATGGAAAGATTTAATGCTAATTGTGCAGTAGCTAGCTGTGTGATTTTAAGTAACTTAATTAACTCCTCTGGACTGTGTGCCTATCTGTAGACCTCACTATCTAGTATTAAAAGTTACTGAGGTAACATATAAGGGTATTCAAACAGGTCACAGAATAGAAAGCTGATGTCCATTTTAGTACAAGGAAAATCCATTCATAATTTTCTCATACAGTTTCCATTAACTTAATCATTTTATTTCTTATGCATTCCTTTGAGAGAGAGACAGAGCTCCCACTTGCTGGTCCATTTCCCTAAATGTTTACAGATTAGAGGTGGGTTAGTCCAAATCTTAGAGTGAGAAGCTCACCTACCTAACCACCTGAACCCTTACCACCGCCTCCCGGGTGCACCTTAGCAGTGACTCAGGAGATGGAGACTGCAAAGGAGATGGGCTTCACTTTCTCTCTCTCTCTCTCTCTCTCCCTCTCTCTCTCCCTCCCTCCCTCCCTCCCTCTGTTTCTCTCTCTCTCTGGCAGTCACTCTGCCTTTTAAGTAAACAAATAGCCTTACAAAAGAAAATCCTGCAGAGACAAAGGACCTTGAAAATGCTCAACAGACTCATCCACAGCCAAGCATGTCCGTGCTCCTCCAGGTGCTTGTGAGGAAGCACTGTATCCACTTACTGAAGCTTACTGCATCCCAAAAATAAAACTGCAGTACTTGCAAAATCAAACACCACAGTTTCGATGTTGAAAATTAACCGTAAGCCTATAAGGCCAACCCACTGTTGGTATCTGTTTCTTTGGTGATAGTTACACAACAAAACGAAGTGAAGGAAGGAATAGTTGGCATTTTCCTTTGGAATTAGCCAGGTTACCTGAGCAAATCCTGTGGGGTTTGCCAGACACAGATCTGATAATGACTGTGAGCCTGGGCAAAGAAAGAGCAAAACAAAGAGGTCTGGAATAAGGGGAGCAGCCCAGGGCCCAGGCTAGAGCAGGGAAACAGGGGAGTCAGGGCAGGGAAAGTCAACTTCTTCAGGAGAAGCCTGGTGGTCCCCCAGGGGTGGCATCCGCATGCTCCTAGATGCTGGAACAGAGTGTGTATTTCTCCAAGGTGGAGGCAGTGCTGGCATATGTAGCTGTACCACCACACAGCTGTGGAGACCCAGCTGCAATCCCCCATGCGCATGGTCTTCACGCAATTCCACACTCTGAATTAGGCAATCTCCTGTTATATCCCAAGACTGGAAAAGTCGCTCTGTGTGGTCCAGATACACGTGAACAGGTCTTACTCAGTTAACACAAGGTCTGTGTTGGGCACTTAAAGGAGAACATTATCAAATCTATACTTAAAATATGCAAAAGTTTGAACTCATGCCATAACCTGGCTTACATTTGTCCTAAGATAATTAATGCAACCTATTTAAAATGGTGGCTACTGTCTGTCATTAAATGGCCAGAGAGAACACTGAATTCAAGTTCACAACTGTTACAGACTCAGTAAACATTGATTGGCACCTGGCTGCACTGGGCTGACAGCATGGAAAAGGAAATATTAAAGAGGCTACACCCTTGAGGCTCTATGAAAGAGGGTGGAGATATTTAGAAATAACCATTATATGGGAATCTGTGAACAGCTACCCAGAGAGAGAAGTACCACAAATGACCTGGGTACTCACAGTTACATTTCTTGATGTTTCCTCTATAGGGGAAAGGATTGGTTTAGATGGGAACAACCCCACATTAACTCCTCTGGAGGCACTGACTCTGAAAAGATGAGGTGTGCTTGCTTGGGCAGCAGATGCCAAAAGACCTTCCTGAATAACAACAACAACAACAAAAGCACTGTACAGATGCAAAATAAAAATTATTCCAGTCCACTGAATACAAATATCATATATATCCTCTAATTTAAAAAAAAAAAAAAGCCGCATTTTAAAATTCTGTTGCAAGATCGAGTGAAGTCATCCAAATTGAGTAGTCATCCAAATGCAGCATTCTTATGTTTGCCAGCAACGCTGATAAGCCAATACTCCCACCTTTATGTGGCTCACGAAGCCCTGTGCTAAGCCTCAGCTAGGCTGTGGGGCAGCAGGAGGGTGGGACTAGGGCCTCATTCCACTGCAGCAAGGGCTGCTCCACCCTGGAGTGTGCTTAACCAGACTGGGCATTTCATCTCATTAAAGGAACAAGTAAGAAGGGGGACTGGTTGCTAACAATCACTGAGTCAGATCACCTTCAAAGCAGTTGACAACGATTTGGATTTGGATTCTGGGCTTGCGGGTGTCAGTATCAATGCCCTCCTCCATCTCCCGGCTTCTCCAGTTCCCCTCTGGGAGGCGGGCCACCATGACACCCACAGCTGACCATGCCTCGGGCCCTCTCCGTCCTCACTCTCTGTAACCTCGCCAAGGAAGCCATCCTCGCTGACCTTCATTTGCTGTCCCTCACCCAGGGTGGAGAACATGTCCATGCGGCTGGAGGAAGTCAACGAGAGGGAGCACTCCATGAAGGCGTCGCTGCAGACCGTGGACATCCGACTGGCACAGCTCGAAGACCTCATCGGGCGCATGGCCACCGCCCTGGAGCGCCTGACCGGGCTGGAGAGGGCGGAATCCAACAAGATCCGCTCACGCACCTCCTCAGACTGCACCGACGCAGCCTACATTGTGCGCCAGAGCAGCTTCAACAGCCAGGAGGGGAACACGTTCAAGCTCCAGGAAAGCCTGGACCCTGCAGGTGAGGAGAGCATGTCCCCAACTTCTCCCACCTTAATGCCCCGTATGCGGAGCCATTCTTTCTATTCGGTCAATGTGAAAGACAAAAGTGGGATAGAGAAGTTGGAGAGTATTTTTAAAGAAAGGTCCCTGAGCCTCCACCGGGCCACTAGTTCCCACTCGGTAGCTAAAGAATGCAAAGCTCCCGCAGCCCCCACCAACACCTTGGCCATTGTTCCCGACTCCAGAAGACCGTCCTCCTGTATTGACATCTACGTCTCCACCATGGATGAGCTCCACTGTGACGCAGACCCTCTGGACAGCTCCATGAACATCCTGGGGTTGGGCGAGCCCAGCTTTTCAACTCTCCTGCCTTCCACAGCTCCTTCAAGCAGTGCCTACGCCACTCTTGCACCCACAGACAGACCTCCAAGCCGGAGCATTGATTTCGAAGACATCACCTCCATGGACACTAGGTCATTCTCCTCAGACTATACCCACCTCCCAGAATGCCAAAACCCATGGGATTCAGACCCTCCAACGTATCACACCATTGAGCGGTCCAAAAGTAGCCGCTACCTGGCCACCACGCCCTTTCTTCTAGAAGAGGCTCCCATCGCGAAGTCACACAGTTTTATGTTTTCACCTTCAAGGAGCTCCTACGCCAACTTTGGGGTGCCCGTGAAAACCGCGGAGTACACCAGCATCACAGACTGCATCGACACAAGGTGTGTCAGTGCCCCTCGAGCGCCCGCAGACAGAGTGCCGTTTCCTGGTGCCCTGGGAGACAAAGTGGAGGACTTATCTTGCTGCCATCCCGAGCGAGAGGCAGAACTGAGTCATCCCAGTTCCGACAGTGAGGAGATCGAGGCCCGGGGCCGGAAAGCTGCCACGGCACTTTCCTCCCAGGAGGGTGAGAACGCAGACAGAACCCTGTCCAACAATATCACAGTTCCCAAGATGGAGCGTGCCAACAGCTACTCTGCCGAGGAGCCAAGTGCGCCGTATGCACACACCAGGAAGAGCTTCTCCATTAGTGACAGGCTCGACCGGCAACGCAATGCGGCCAGCCTGCGGAACCCCTTCCAGAGGAGCAGGTCCTCCAGGCCAGAGGGCCGAGGGGATGGCCTGTCCATGAGGAGACTGTCCAGAACCTCGGCTTTCCACAGCTTTGAAAGCAAGCACAACTAGACCTTTTCCCACCCCTCTCCCCTGCACTGTATGAGGCTCAAGAGTCCAGCCCTTAAAATTCTCCCCAAACTCCAACTTTCCCCACATCCCTTCCTTGAACCACACTCACTTTATGCTTAGCTGAGCAAAACAAGCAATGCTTTGGGAGGTGTTCACTCACAGGTGACTTTGGGGCCACAGACCCAGGAAGCTCCTGCTCTGGCCCCGTGCCAAGCACAGGGAGTTGATGCCATGTTCACACTCGCTGGGTAGGGAGGGAGAGAAGGGGAACAGGCGCTGCAGACCACCACGAGCTCTGGGGAACCAAGGGGCTTCAAGCATTCTTCATGCCAAGAGGCATTACTCAGAGTTTTAGGATGCAGGGCTAAACTGCAGAATAAAATAAAATAGCCAGCCTACAAGATGAGATATTCTAAACTTCCATTCTGTTTTCTTTTCACATTGGCTCCATCACTGGTGACTGACGAAGAGCATCCTTTTTATTCAGTGTAAGCCGGCAGCAAGCAGTTCTCCTAACGTCCCACATCCTTCTCATGCCAACACCTGTGTAATTGGTCATTATAAAGAAAACACAAGGTAACAGTCACAGTTCACCTGTCTCTTCTGTATTCACTTCTGGTACCACAACTGTTGATCTTTTTTGGAGACGATAAGGGAACGGAAATGCCTTCTTGCATTGCAATCAAAGTGAAAGAGGAATTCATGTCCAAAAGTCATGTGATCTATCACATACAGTGGGCGTTCAGGTAGAGTCAAGCAAGCTCAGGATGAGTGGAATCAAATAATTTTATATCTTTAATTTATTTTGTATCTCACCTGTCCATCAATGAATTCACTCATCGACTACGGAATAATGACCTTTTCAAAAGAAAGTGGCAAAACTGACCTAGAACTGCCATAAGGGACATCGCGGTATTACCACTCGTGTCCTGTGCAGTGCTGTTCTGTGGCCTTGACCATGTGCATGGCTCCACCCCACCCTCCCAGCGCATCCAAGATGGAGCTACCGGCGTCTCACGCCGCTCATTACCACCTGACCATTTTGTATGAGCGGATGTGGTTATGTGTGACTGTTTCCCTACCTGGGGTTTTGCCATCTCATCTGAGCTCAGCAGAAAATTCACTGGAGTTTTTCAAGGGCTGGTATCTTTTGTACAGAAATGTTCCAAAGTTGTTTTTAAGCAAGTTTCAAAAACATAATCTTAGAATTGACTGGGAGTTTGATATCAACCCAAAGCCATCAAAGTCATACCATGAATATTTTTCTTACACACAGAGCTATGAGAAAAGAGATAGTAGACCAAAATAGAAAGTGAAGAAACCACATGTAGAGTTTTATAGTATGTGCTGTTACATGCATACATCTGCATCTACGCAGAGATGCTTATATCCATCATATGTAAACAGACATTCAGAGCATTCTTAGGGGGCTCAGAGTTACTGATCCTCTTGAGGTATAAATAAGATTTTTTAATATCCAAGAAGTTCTGCTGAAAGAGCCCATTAAATGAGAGTATGGGCTTTAAAAAATCTCTATAACCTTAGCTTTTCTTTGCACACACTAGAGGTACCACATGCCCTTTGCTCAGCTGACTCCTGCTGGGTTCTCTTGCACAAAGCTGTTCCACAGAGCACAGTCTGCCCAGACTCTAAACCAGAAGCAGAGGCTTCTGGATCAGACTGGATCTGAAGTGTGATCAACAAATTTGGTCCCCTTCCCCCAGTCTTCAGATTCCCATTTGGATTGCTATTAAAAATAATACTAATAAAATAAACCCTTCAAGGAAAACAGCTGGATGCTCCTAGCCCAAGATACTACATAATTTTATTTTCTTTAGTTGTGGTTGTAAACTCCAGGTCATCATTTGTAAAAATAGATACATGCATGGAGAAAACCTCTAGCCTTTAAATATCGAAAGAAAGAAACTTGTGATGAAGCTTAGCAGGTACAGAGTAACAGGGTCACAGGCCTGAAGAACTAAACACCTTCTTCATTGCTTGGTGTTTAGAGGGCTCAGCAACAAACACCCCGCCTCCTTGAAACGCTTCCAAGTCCCCATGTTGGCCATTTCCTTTCCAGCCAACCTAACTTTGGTCTGAGAATAAATGAGTTGTCCTTAAATTTTCTTCGTTTGTGAATCCCTCTAAGCAAATGCTGTGCATCTGTGCCAAGTTGCAATGTTAACTTGAAATGAACCCATCAGCCCTGGTCCTACACTGATTGATAATGAGGAAAAGAAACTATGTTTGTTCATAATCAACATAGCTGTGTTAGGCACTTCACATTTTAAGACCACTTCTCTGTGACCCTTGGAAAGGCTGCATCTCAGCACCTGAGATGAGGCATCCTTGTAGCTAATCATGTAATGACTATTTTTAAGTAGTGAGTACATTCACCAAGGCCAAGGCTTTCTGAGGGAGTCCAGAAAGGGTCCCAACCAGTAGGTGAACCATTTTTCTCTCTGACCATAGGACAGGACAGCAAGCACCTCCAGGGCCTCATTCTGGACCAGCTTGCAAGTGGAGAAAAATGTTGAACCTGAGTTTTTCTATCACCATGATTTGTGGGGAGCAAAGAACAGAATCTAGGAAACTGGATACTTCACAGTTCTGATCTTGTTACTACCTAGTTCTTTCATCATGCATGGAAATGAAAAGTGCTAACCTATTTTATGAAGTGTGTGAAATGTGTAAGTCAAATTTAAATGACACAAACTGCAACTGTCATGAGCCATCCCCTTCCCTATGCCTGTGTGTGTTTTCTAATCCCATCTCTCCGTGTCTGGGTTCTCTGCACACCAGTGGAGCCTTGAATCTGTGGCCTGCTGCAGTCAGCTTGGGCTTCACTCATTTATTCCACTGCGTCCTTGATGGAGGGAGGTTAACTACTTGTCTCTGTGAATTAAGCAGCTCACAAGCAGCAAATTATCGATGACCATAAATAAACTAAAAAGAGCCCAAGGAGGAAATGTAGCTTCCATTTAACCAGCTGCTTCAAAGGTGCCAACTTTTACAGACTGCTCTGTTATGAGTTGTTCTAAATCGCTTGTTCCTTTAGAAAAAAGTTCAGAATGCTTCATGAAAACGATCATGAAGGTTTCCTGACTAACCCACATACTTTATATTTTGTAGTTAGAAACCCCTTCCTTGATGGAATTGAATAAGAAGCTAGAAAGCGAGGGCGGCTAGTTCGTGTATTTCTTCAGCAAGCCACAAGTTGTATTAGCAGTCAGAATGCAGCACTTTACAAAACTGGAATTCTTTAAGTCTAAACTTTCAGGTCTAGGCTATCATTGAGCACTTTGAATGCTGCCTTTTTAAATATACATAGAAGAATCATTAAATGGAGAAAATATACTCATAAAAATGTAAGATGTTTCTTCTGAATGTTTCTAATGTGTTCTGGGAGAGCCTTGCTATGGATGATATTATGGTTGCTGACTGGATAGCACATTTTGTCTACTTTCTGAGCCTCTGCAGTCTAATCTTCCTAAATGTTTGGGCTGTTTTACTATTTTAAGTCAATATTATCCAGTCCTCCATGATGCTCTACCTACAGGCTATACCATTCAACGTGTTGAGCAATGCTGTATTATAAAACACATGTCAACATATATGTAACCCTTGTTTAATCCAGCATAGCTGTAGCATGTGGTTGTATTAATGAACGTTACAGGCCAGCTTTATAATCACAACTCTGTGACATTCAATAAAGAAGCACATGTTGCAAGGATTCATTATGCTCCCACTCCCATGTTATTGAGCAGCCTCGTGAAATGAGCCTGTCCTGTTTCTGACCTGTTTTGTGTTTCTCACATTCCTGTAGACCACTGTAGAATCTCTGTTTGCACTGACGCTGAGCCTCCACTAAGCCCTGCAAGTTGTGACTTTATGAAAGACAAACTGGCATGTCATGCAGAAGGTTGTCTAACAAGTGAACTTAAATCAATATTTCAAACTCCAGTTCAGCTAGCTGTTTGTTTCCGTCTGCTGACCCAGTGTGGACGCAGTGTCCAGTGTTTTATAAATATGTTCCTCCAGCAACACTGTGTTGTTTCTAGATTACGTGATGCGAGCGTGTAGCTGGTTATGCACTCAGCCCAGCTATTGCATTATAACTCACTTTAACAATAGCAATGCGACTGAAAGGAAGGAATCCCTCTCCAAACTTTGTCTTCACTTCATGTCAGCAAGACGCATGCACTTTATGCACTTCTTTTGCCTTTTCTCATGCACTTAACATTCTGCCACAGCCTGCTGTAAATTGTGAATTAGCTAGCAACTTAATGAAATAGTTGGGCTTTTAAACTGGGGATTATATTCCATTTTTAAATATTAGAAACAACTAACGAAGGAATTTTAAATTTTTTGTTTAGGATATGAACAAATAACATGAAATAAAGTATTAGCCAGGGGTCATATAGCTATGGGACTCAGAGCTGACAAGTCAGTATCACTTGGGTATACCAAGGGCTAGGTTCGATGTATCTGTAATGAATGAAAGACATTTTTATGACACTTTAGGGTCTGGGTGTAAATTTCTAATCCAGGTATGAGAGTGGAAAGACCATTCATGACGGCGTGAAAGTCCACAGATGAGCGTCAGTGAGCAAAGCAGAGGTGCAATGTGTGCCTGCTTTGGTTGGGCTCCCAGGAGAGAGGCAGATGACTGGGGTCTGTGTGCCCTGTATGACTCTGGAGAGCTTACTTTTTCAAAGAAATCAGCATTTTATTTGTAGAAGCCATTCAACTTCTAGAAGAAGGGAGGAACCAGTTTACCCATTCAACAACTGCTGCTAAAATGAGGGGACACTTCCTCAGCCTGCATGGGCCTACATCTCCTCTTCCCGATACAAGCCAACCATCCAGCTCTCCAGTTGTAGTCAGCCAAAGAATGAGCTGGTTCTCATTGAATAAAAACAAGATTTTTTCCTTTCCCATTGGGAATTCATGTTAGAAGGTACTTGCAAGGTACATCTCTTCAACAATTTCCTAGCACTTAACATCGCTGCAGACATTCCAATGGGACCATCGCTGCACGTTGTCAGAGAGAGGATCGCCATCCAGGTGGCAGTCACAGTGAGGAGACAAACTTTCTTTTCCCTGACTTCCTCAGTGCGCTGCCTCCTTCAACCTGCAGGCAGCTGTGTATTCACACAGGGTTTGTGTGCTGGGAAGGGAAAAAGCCACGTGGGAGTATGTGAGTTTCCTCAAGAGCATTAATGCCAACCACAAGCCAGTCCAGCTGCAGAGAACTGCGGGACACAGTG